ATGAATATAGTGCATATATCTGATACAAATCTCTGTAAGCATTCTACAATAGTGATTTCACCAATTCAAACATAATTATTTGTATTATCAGTAGTTGATTTATATGCTAATATACGAATAACAGTAGTGCATTTTTGTAACGATGAAAAACCCTTCTTTCACATTGAAAAGTCATGTAGAAAATAGCCAATAACGATATAAATAAAAAAAAGAACCAATAAAGAAGATGATGGCCTGAATAATAAATTTATCGTCTTGACTTTTAATGTGACAAATTATTTGATCATGTTATAAGGAGCATTTATTACAAATAGGGATGGAAACACAACTTTTTATTCAAGGGTTTGAGTCAAGAAAAAAAGAACCAAATTCATTAGTAATAATGAGAAGTCATGTAACATTCTACCATGATCAATATGATGACAAATCAAGTGGGGCCTACCAATTACAAGGGGGGAAACTTAGAAACAAGGAGTCAAATTCAATTATCAATTATTTGTAATGTTAAAAATGTAGAGGAAAATACCTTATCCCATGACTAATTCATTGATTAATGTTAGTGATGCAAAATTTTAGGTTGAAGTTATTCTCCTATAAGTTAATGGGTCCAACTATTAGGAGGATGTCATAGATTGTCATTCCACTCTTTAAATAGGAAAAAAAAACATATCGGCATCTCAATTAAACAATTTATCCCTTCATTATCAACAACTATTCTCAATTGGAATTTTCTCCCTCTGTCTCCTTAAGTTACAATGTGTGTAAATTAATAAAATTCTTTTTTTTCTTCTTAAATCTAAACTTACTTATCTAAAATGAATTAAAAAAAAATGAACTTCTTTGGGGATTATAGCATTTTCATGTCATGACAGGTAAGAAATGTCTTTGTATGCATTGAAGTTTCATAATTCCATCATGGACATCTTACCCGTGAGTGTCCCCCAGTCCCTTCTCCCTCAACTAGATCAAAATAAAAATATTGTTTTTATAAAACCATTTTTCCTTCATTGAACATGAAAGCAACATTTTTCTTCAACCACATTCACTCTTTGGAAATGTGTGAAACGATAAATTAAACAACAAAACAAACATGTTGAAAGTCATTATTGGACTATTCCACTAATGAAAAGTGATGCAATTGCTAAAAACAATAGTAGAAGATGTAAGCATCGTGTAATTAATTCAAACTTCGAACATTATACAACTCCAAAATATTGGAATTTGTTACATGGTGATTGGATGGTAATGTCACATTAAAGGTAAAATAATAATTGTATAAAAAAATAGAAGCCAGTAAGGAAGATAATAATGTGACAAAATGGAAACGGTTATAATGATGAAAATAGTAAACTTATCATCTCGACTTTTAGTGTGACAAATATTATGATCACGTCATAAGAAATATTTATTACAAATAGAAACGGAAACGCGACTTATGATTTAAAGGTTTGAGTCAGGAAAAAAGGACAAAAACTCATTGATAGTAACATGAAGTCATGTAAGATTCCACCATGATTAACAATACGACAATAATTCATGTGGAGTCATACATTAATGGAGAGCACTTGGAAATAATGAATCAAATTAAATTGATAATTAATTACAATGTTGAAACCCTAAATCCTAAACACATGGACATGATACCATTACCATATTGTTTATTGATGCGTCTATTGGCTCATATCCTCATGCCTAGGAATATAATGTTAATGATGCAAATGTTTAGGGTGAGGTTATTCTCTTACAAGTTAATCGGTCCAACCTTTCATAGGATGAAGTGACTTGTCAACTACTTTTTAATAGGTTCTTCAAGCTTAATATGACTTTTTTATTTTGAATATCAAAAATTAGTTTCTCTTTTTAGAAAACATGTTATCCTAACTTGTTCTTGGTACAAGAAATAAAGTGTGCAAAAAGCATATACAAGAAATATGTAAGTAATTCTTGTCAACTCTTAATTTCATTTTAAAGCCTTATATTTGTTTCTTGAAAAAAAAATATTTCAAAATTAACTAAAATACAAACTTATGGTGATTAATAATGCACAAGGGCAATCATTTGGTATATGAGCATTGAAATTTAATTATGTTAAGTTTTAGAACGACAACTACTAATTTCTTTCACTGAGCAGTAACCTTGGAAATTAAAAAAGACCTTTATACTTGAAAGCAAATGAGCTTTAGTGGTACCAAAAAAATAAAGGAATATTGGGTCAAACTAGGTAAAATAAATATTAAAATTTTCATGCCTATATGATTAAGAGTAGATGTAGAAATAATATTTATGACTTGAACATATGCAATGCATCTGGTGTGCTAGTGAAGTGATCCTGCAACAAGAGATTATCACTTTCTTTAAATCTTTTATATGTATTATTATAGGTCAACCCTTTATGTGATAAACATATAAAGTTGGTCTTTACATATAAAGTACTAACTTCAAATGACCATTATACATAAAATAAGAAAGATTCTTGTCAATTAATATTTTAAAAGTAATTTTTTTTAAATGGTAGATAGATGATGACACCTATGACTACCGAACAGGTAATCAATGACATATTAGAAATTTTCATACAAAGCATCACTAAGAATGAGAATAAGTCAGGTTAAAAAAAATTCTGAATATACAAATCAAACCTGTTCCATAAATGTAAAACTAAGCGTGACCAATTATCTATTAGAGGCTATTTTTAGGTTTGACCTAACCTTTTAAAAGTCTAGCTTATTTAAAAATCTATTTTACATTAACATTGTTAAATAGGCCAATAAATTAATTTTAAACAAGTCAATAGACCTAGTTTTAAATAGGTAAGTGATTTTTTTTTGTGATAAAAAAATAGTTTCCTTTATTATTATTATTATTAAAATTTAGAATTAAAATAAAAATAAGAACTAACATAAGAGATACAAGTCATGCACACTTGTATACACTCACGCGTAAGTGAAATGAAAGAAGATAACCATATCAACAAAAACCTTTCTAAATATTTTTTATATTCTATTTAGAATATTATAAATAAACAATTATGAATGAAGGAAAAGAGAGTAGGAAAATATGCGGCTGCTAGAAATTTTATTTTCTATTTATTGATTTTTTTATATGAATAAGGAAAGTAAACTATTTAATTTAGTGAGAATATTAAAAATATTAATAATTTAACTTTTTAATTTCAAAATTATTTATTCAATTATATTTTTAATAATATAATATATTATTTATTATTACTATATATTATATAGATAAATAAGTTAATCTATTAAATTTAATGACTTTGTTTTAGATTAAACTCAACCTATTTAAATGAATAGGTCTTTTTCAAAGTTTAAACCTGATATTTTTTTTAAAATAAGTAAAATAAGGTCAAAGTTTAACCAAATCAGATTATACACTTCTATTTAAGACGTAACCTATTTTCATATTTAATATTTAATTTGATTCATGTCTTTATTTTTTAAAATGAAGACTAACAAAGATCTACTAGAAAAATTTCATTCTAACGTTAAAGTATCTTTTTGAATAGCTATATTTATCAAAAATATAATTTTATAATAATAAGAGGTATCCAAATCACAAGAAAAAGAAAACACAATCTCAAACTAAATCCTGTACCATTTATGTTAACTCACAAAGTCACCATATAAATACTAGTTAATAAAAAAGTTATTTATTAAAAGTTTCATTAAAGATAATGAAAATAGGCAACATTACAGTTTTTAATTATTTTTTCTTTTTTTAACTAGGGTAGTAATTAGTATTTCCTAAATAAAAATATCGACACTTTGGATATCTCACATATATGGACATAAAATCCATATTTTATGGCCTTTCCACCATGTGTCGCCTTGCATGTAAGCAGCTTCGCGGGATCTAGCCGTCCAGTTTCAACTACCAAGCGGTGCTAAAAACAACGGCAAAAAAAGGGGGAAAAAAATAATAATTTAAATTAAATAATTATTTTATAATAAATAAATTAAAAAATATTAATATTTTTTTAACAACCGCGGTTTTCCACTTTCTATCCTTTTCTCCGCACAATTCTAGCAACGTTACGCTTCCCAACCCCGTGAAAAGAACCGCGTTCCGTTACATAACGGAGAGCGACAGAAGGCGATTAGAAAGGTTCCTGAAATGACGCGTCAAGAGAAAGAAAGTGACGCGTGTACACACACCTTCACACGTTCCCACTCACTCCACAAAGAATCAACCATTCAATTCAAGTACACACACACTCACACTTGTTAACAGCCTTACCCGGTCATCACTCATCACTATCCAAATTATTTTATTAAAAATTAGAAGCGTGTGTAAATGTGGAGAACAAGAGCCCAAAAAAGTAGTAACATAACATCAAACATTAACATTAACATTAGGTTAAACTAAAAGCCGGCACGCATGTCTCGAAACTCCCGCGTGCCACGTAACCCTAAACGCAAACACAAACACGTCATTTTCGTTTGGGCGGCGTCACATCTTTCTTTGACTGCATCTTCCTCTCTTATTCTTTTATCTGGAAAACCCAAACGCGCCCTTACTCCCACCGCATAATTTTTTTTATTTATATATATA